GGGGGGGGGGGGGGGGGGGGGGGGGGGGGGGGGGATAGCCTTAAGAATTCACTTGCCCCGGGCCTCGCAACTTCTTAATCCGGTCCTGGATGATCTCTATTGAAAATGCGTATGCATGCGTGCGTCGCGTTGCCTACCTGCCCAAGCATTGATGGAAAGGACGCATGAAGCGCTAAGTGTGAAACGTCCTCTACATCGTCCTTTCCTCGAAACTCCGAATTTAACACCGAGTTCATAAACCGAGTAGTTTTCCAGAGAGACACTCATGAAGTTGGCTCAACCGCGCTCCACGAAGACAAAATCCTCCAAAAAAAAAACCTCTTTAATCTGTTTAATAAGATGCTGGTGATTCTTTATTGATGCTGGATGGTCCAAATGCCACCGCCATTGAATTGTGGCTGCAAGAAACCTCGCTGTGGTCAACGTTTGCTCTGCTCGCGGTGAGGGTACGACCGCGATGGCCGGTCGGTGAGTGTGCAAAGAGAATGAACTCGAGGTGGTATTCGACCAGTGGCGGCTCGTCAGGGTAGGCAGGGTAGGCAATGCCTACCCAGTTTACAATCAGAGTTCTCAAATTAATATTTGATAATTAATTATTCGATTAACACAGCTGGAAATATTTTTTTCATTGCGAGGTAAAAGCAAATCGAGATTATGCGTCCAGAGTAGACACGGCGCTGCCTGCCTACGCTGGCTAGGCTCAAATTCCCTCGAGCCCAATGCAGGAACGAGAAGAGGGAGAAATGGAAGAGAACCACAACACTGGAATGAGTGAGGGTAGGCTTGCCTACGGTGCGCAGTTACTCCTTGCGCAGGAAAGGAGCCAGTGAAATAGATACTCAAGTTCTTACCCCAGACGAAAAATAAAAAGGAGAAAGGACAAGGAATGGTGGCAGGCGGGGAGGGGGGGGGGGTTAGGTAGGAACTTGGGAACCGCCCCCCTATGAAAAATTTCTGTATCCGCCCCTGTGGGGGAGGGGATGCTCAGTGAGGTTGAGAGAGGAGTGAATGTGCCTGCTACTATCATAAGAGGACGCTTGATTGGTCAATATGGATAGAAATGGGGATCATATGGGTGCAAAGGAATACCGCCCCTGTGGGGGAGGGGATGCTCAGCGAGGTTGAGAGAGGAGCGAATGTGCCTGCTACTATCATAAGAGGACGCTTGATTGGTCAATATGGATAGAAATGGGGATCATATGGGTGCAAAGGAATCATTTGGGGGTGACCGCACCCCCCCTTCTTTTTTTTTTTTGCACCACTGCTGCCTACCCAATTTTTTTACCCACGAGCCGCCACTGTATTCGACCACCACGTGATGATCAAGGGCCGACACTAGGCTCCTGATCGCGTTCCAACATCTTATCTTATATTCACTCGCATTCAAACTAGTGGTCTGAAATCCAGGAGCAGCACTATGAAAGTCAAGTTCGAAGCAAACGTTCACCTCCCAGCTACTCTTACCTTATACTGAAGCCATTTCAGACTCAATAAAACTCTATTCTTCATTCACCCGCGAATTTACAGCTCTATCCTTCCATAAATTGTTCCATGCAGAGGCAGTAACATTTGTAGACTAAATCAATACGTCTTCTCCATACTCCAAGAAAGATTTGTCGGGAATTTCACTAGGTTTTGAGGTCACGAAAGGCATGTCAATCCGCCCGCGACCCCCAATTTCGGATGGGCACAACTCCGTAAGTACCTTCTAAATTTTTTAATTTCACCTCTCCAACCAGCGTCAACTCAGCGATCGTAATCGCAATATTAACAGCTGTGGTACTGTGGTACTGCTAATATCATACTTCAGAAATGGTTCAGAAGCAACCATGGAAGTCTTGGAGCAGAATTTCTACATTGAGCCTCGATGGATTGAGGATAGGCCAAGACAGCATTATTGGCCATAATTTTATGCCTTTTTTCACCTTGATATCCATTTCAGAGCAGCAAGCGCAATTCTCTATCGAACATGTAGAAATGAAATTGGCATCGCTGTCAAAGCGCCCGCATGCAACATGGCGTCGCACATGTTCGTCCCTACTCTCATGCTATCACCCAGGCGAAGGGACTCATCTGCATCGTTGAATGCGTATGATTATGACTTTGACTGTGCTTAGCCCGGGCAGACTATCGATGTGGTCTAGCTACAAGCAATTTTGAGCGACTTCGTGCATATAGAGTTGATAGTGTATGCTTATCTTTCATGGGTTCGATTGGCATATCAAAAGGCTTGGTTATGTCAGTTAACAGCCAGCATATTTCTGATTGGCTTCCTAAGTACACCCATACTAGAACGAGAGATTTACAAAGACATTCGAAAATATATGGTTAGGCCTAAGCCCGCTGCTTTACGTTTGATCTTCCATACCCTTGCTAAGGAATCAATTATCTATGCTTACCGGTAGCTGCGGAGCATAGGGTTTTGTACTTGAAATACAGCCAACGCTCGCGTCGTCACTGACGAGGAGTAAAATCAAGCTGTAGCAGAAAGTTAAAAGGCGTTTGAATTTTTTGGGTCAAAATTTTTTCAAACTACCCACTGGCACTCCGAGGAAGACATGTAACTTTTTTTTTTAGTCATTTGAACCACCTCCAGAAACTTGGTACACTCTTCTTTAACTTCAAGTCTTTCATTAGTATGCACGATTGACATAGATTAAAACTGGTTTGAAAATTGTAAAGAATTCTAAAAATACATATTAAAACTTGAAGAAATTGTCATTTCTGCTGTAGCATCTCATAAACTAGAAAACCAATTCATCTCAGAGGACATTATGCTATGAAGGAGTCTGGAAATTATTCAATTGGCCCTCATATTAATTATCTGCCTCTTAAGTATGTTCTGCTTATTGTATTCCACTTGGAAAACAAGAGTGAGTGCCTCTACCTGTTGGTTCTACAGGCCTTGTTGGATCAAAATGGCTGGCCTATGGCACCCCCAAGCAGTATATGTCATTGTTGCTGAACTTGGGATGAAAATATCTAACATAGATGATATTTCTTGCTTTTATAGCATAAAAAGCTGAACTCACTTTTTTTTTGGCTAAATTGTTTTCATGATAAGTTGTTGTCTATTGGGTTGGAAACTGATGGTAAATGCAGGCTGTGACTTTCATGATTATATTCCTGGTTATGTTATGCTTGTACTTAAATGCTAGAATGTTATTCTCAGGAGGTTGTGGCTAAGCTTACTATATGAAGGAAGCTGACAACTGATTCAGTACCTGTTCTAAGGGTGGTGTCTGTTGCCTGGGTATGAAAATGAAGGAGAATGAACATTGTTGATGCATTCTATTCAGGTGGAAGTTATTCAGCCAGGAAATAGATTGTATGGTCCAAGAATGGTTTGAAGTGCGAGTACCTGTCACTATGGCAACATATAAGGATATAAGTATGCAATGGGAGCATCATCATGTAGAAGTTGTGCAAACTCTTGGATGTCTCCTCAAGGATGCTGCTTTTGTTGATGTAACAATTGCTTGCAAGGACAAAGCCTTCAAGGCCCATCGGCTTCTCCTGTCTGCATGCAGCAATTATTTTAGTGAAGTTCTGAGGAAACTTGATCCTGGTGGAAATCCCATCTTGATCCTCCCTGATATTGGTGGTGACATCATGGACTTGATCCTGACTTTCATTTACATTGGTGAGGTGAACATTCCTATCGCATCCTTGACTGAGTTCATGGCTCTAGCTGAAAAACTGAAGCTCAAGGGCCTTGAAGCTCCTTCACAAGTTGAAGTTCCTTTGAATGAGTCACCAGAGGAGGAGCACTGTTCTGATGAAGGTGATGGTCAAAAGCAAGCATCACCTGAAAAATATAAACTTAGAGCAAGATCCAGGAGAAGATCATCTGCTGGCAGTAGGAAAAAGACAAAGAGTGAGCATACAAGTACAAGTGTAGAGGACATTGACAGTGGAGAGACTACTGATGTGACAGAAGAAGGAGCCAGATCTGCTGCAGCATACTTTCAAACTGTGGAGATGGGAACAGTTATTGTAAGTTTGCAGAGACACTTATTTATCTACTACAACTTATAAAATGCATATATACTGTAATATACAAGGAATATACTGTAGGGCCCCCTGTTTTTGTTGCAACAATTGAGAGGGTCAAGAACCATGTTTATCAAAAGAATCATGCGTATTTTCTGGGTCCCTGACTTAAAAAACATATGCCTTTGTGGATTTTCGTTCATTAGGAGTGAGGGGAATCTGATTTTTCAGGCTGGTAAGGATTTCCAAAGGATCAGTCACAAATTGGTGATGATTAACACTTTGGAATACAGTCAACACCATCAATCAATCAAAATTTTGTAATCATTTTTGCACAACTGAAAGAAAAATGTATGATGCCTTATCAGACAGCTGAACCATATTATAGTCAAGCGACAGAGGATCTAATAGCTGAGCTATGTGGTGGTGTACAGACATCCTTCAGCAGTGCACAAACAAATAATTTTTCTTCTATTACTGATATTGACAAACCTATAGTGTTGATCATGACCAACTTGTTACTGCCCTCTTTCAAACAGAGCTTATGGCAATTATGTTGACTGACACCTTTTTTTGATAGATGCAAAATTCAATCACACATCATTGGTGCACTTCAAATGACACATTCATTTCCACTTCTATTTATAACCACAACTTGAGATATACTGCAAAGAAAGCATGCCAAATTGCACACTGCTCCTTTTTGGTTCAGCCAGAAGTGGCCCAGTCCACTAATCTTTTGATATTCTCATTTCTGGTTCCATTATTGCTGGTGCTCATTTGGATTTGTAATTCTTATTTTCTGACAGGCTTTATGCAGTGAAGAGGAGCAACCACCAGTAGCAAATGAAGGGATGGAGACTCCAGATGCACAGGTAGAGTGAATTCATTTTTTGTACAGTGCTACTCATTGATGCAAAGTAAACAGGTGTATTTTCCATCTTCCTATGGTGACTTATTCACTGAGTGGCAGGTGGATTTAGGCTTACCTCCTGTATTGATGGATTGTTGGTTCCCCTTTGAATAGTAAAATACAAGGAATGAATGGTTAAAAATGTCAAGATTTATTATTTATCTTCAGAACTGCAGAAGATATTGGCATGACATTTGGCACATGTGGTAAACAATGTCTTTCAGTCCTAGGGCCTCACTTGGTATACAATCATGGCAATAAATTGAGGAGTTCTGTGGAAAAGGGGCGTATGTGCCCATAAGCCCTTTTTCCATATCTGTGTCCATTTGCTGCTTTAGGTGGCTAGTCATAGGATAGGGTGGTCAGCTAGTAGTTAAGATGTGTACTCAGCAAAGGAGAAGCAGCTTTTCCTATGCTCTCACTAAATAGCAGGCCAACTACCTAGCAATTTCAATATGGATGCCTCCATGAATATTCCATTAGCATTTGCATGCTGAATGATTTTGGTGGAATTATTTCATTGTTTTAAACCGAAAGTGAAAATGAGGAAGAAACCAGACATGAAGATAGGGAAAGAAAGAGGCCTCATTGGCCCTTCATGAGGTCATTCAAGCCTCTGGAAGGATGTGAGAAGTTGGAGATATCCTTGAAATAGTTGAAGATTCATGGGATGAATACATTACAGTGTTTTTCACTTGAGTTAGACATGTTTTCACTTGACTTCGACAACGGTGCATGGTGAGGGTGATATAGCGGATCGACGCAGAAACAAGGAGTTCCATTCTTAAGTGCAAGATGCATATGAAAAAGCCTAAATATTCGAAGAAGAGAAAGATGTCGCTAGTCACCAGGGGCACCTGCGCCCTCGCCTCCTCTCTGAATATTCCTCGCATTGGTGTCTTAGTCAAGTGAAAAATTGTCTAACTGAGGTGAAAAACACTGTAATAATGGATCACTGCAGCACAGTAATTGGTGAATGAACAGTGTCCTGACTATTCACATTTTCATTACTATTTTTCAAGTAAGAGTTTATTTGAAATCTGTAGATGCATTTATTGATTAATTATTATTTTTTAACTAGAAAGAAGTGATGAAAGACTCGTTGGAGAAAGTTTCAGCAGTGCAGATATGGAAAAAGGGCATATGTACATGAACACTATCTGCCTGCATCCCAGCAATGTGAGATAAAGAAATTCGTTCAAACCCCAAGCTCAATTGGAAAAAGGTATAAGATACAATTTTACTGATAATTAAGTTTTGGCCAGCTTCAGATTAGCTATGAGAAGTTTTTATCGTTTATCTCGATTTGCATGTTTTGCACATACGCCCTTTCTCTAGAGGACTCCTCAACTGCATCACATACTATGGCGGAACAGGGCAATGCAGGCGCATAAGTAGAGCACATGGCAAAGTGAAAATGAATCCTGCTATGGGACAGTGCGTGATCACCAAGTTCTGGGTGAAGGAATATGAGATAGCCATAAATGCTTATAGAGTAGAACTGTACCGATGACCATTTTTGGCTGATGGCAGATTGCGATCTCATATTCATTGGCCGATGCCGATTGTGAAATGTAAATTGAGAGCCTATATCAAGTTCTCATGCAAACAGGCCAATAATGAAGCCATGTTTACGTTGTCGTTTAGGACTGTCACAATAGCTGTGTAGACCTGAACTATCGATGGTGCCTCGATGGATCACGTTGGGGAGGGGGATTCAGTCATCGCGTATGACATCCGTCGTTTCTTGCGTCGATCGAGGCGCGGAACTCTCCGTTTTTTATCATCTCTCGACCGTGGTTCGGGTGATGACCCGATTTTCCCATTTCAGTGGGAAAATAAAGCCTTCGATGTGTCCAACCATCGATAGCGACTTCGATCGATTACATCGTGACAGCTCCACTCTTTTCCTGTTGAGAATCGTTTACCGTGGCGCGTTCACATGTTTTTGCTTTGTTTGGAATGTTCTTTAGGCATCGGCAGATTGCAGATTTACTGACTGCCGATGGCACCATTCCGGCTGCTAATACTAGTGGTTGCCGATGCATCGGTACAGCCTAGTAGACACAGGATGCGTTCGGTACAGAGTCCGAAAAGTTTCCGGAAACATCTAATAAAACAAAACTATTGTTTTCGTCGCTAACAAAATCGGTACACAGAAACATCACACCTTACTTAGCCTTCAAAATAATCGCTGTTCGCTATGCATTTCTGCCATCCGGAGGGCAACGATCGTATGCCCATTCTGTAGAAGCATGTTTCTAGTAACCATGATCTTAGAGAATATTGAAGATCTTCGCCACTGATGAAGCATATTCCTTTTATTCAACATGGGCACGTCTTACATATAGGGGGGTTGGTTGTTTTGATGCATAGGGAAAATTATATGCAGACCTAAACGCCGTGGAGGAGGAGGAGGGGGGGTGGGTTGTCGGTGAGTGCCGTTATCTCTCGTCGTAATCTGAGGAGTTTGCCTTCCATTGTTTCCCCGTCGCTTTCAGTTGGGGAAAGGATTGCAGAGGCAGAGGGAGGGCAAGGAAGATCATGATGGCAGATGTCTTTATCAATGCCGCCACCCATCGAAAGTGATGTATCTTTGGTTCTCCAAATACTCTATCGTGCAGGCCTATTCGCACAATAGGGTGCTATTGCTATTGCGGAGAGGAGTTAAGCCCTTTGATTTCACTTTTTTCTAAATTTAAAGTAAAACTTGCCCAATAGGAAACTTGAGATTCCAGTAGCTGTATTCTGCATTCCCTCTTGCTTGTGAGAAGATTGTAGGGTTTCTTTTGAAATGCTGAAAATTTATTTCTCCTAGTACTACTACTCTCTTGGATGAAATTACTTTCATTTCCTGGAACCGCAATATCTTATTTATTGCCCATTATTCAAAGGTCATTCTTTACCAACAAAAATGCCACTTATTAATTGTAGACCATCCAAATAAGGGGTCAATGTAATGTAATTGACCATGAGGTACATTAATGCTTTTATACTCTATACAGAAAAGATGCAAAACCTCATTAGGGTGTTACTTTCTGCCATCCTATAGAGTAGTTTTCAAAATATGGTCTTCATTATGTTTTCATTCACATATAGTCATATTTATTTTACTAAGAGGACTAAGATCCTCCAACTCATTTGAAGACATGAGGGACAAAATTTACTTCTGAGGAGAAGCTTGAGTGAATGCCAACTGTCTTGATTCTGTAGTATGTGTCTTCTATGCAGAGTGTCAAATGGGAAGGTGATTCCGACGTGCAGATGCCATTAGAAGTGTCTTTGGCAAGGCAAAGCCCAAGCATAGACCAAGCTGATGCTGATATCTCAAATGCTTCCATGCCATCTTCTCTCATTGTGAGTTGTCTCATTTCAATTTTTTTTGTGAAGTCCAATGTTATCGTAATTTAAGGTCTCATCATCCACCCATAAAGAATCCATATTGTAGTAAATACCATCTCATCACTAACTAGACAAGTGGTGCTGAAGACAATCATGGCAGTCCTTAGGCACCTTTTTATGAAGACCTTATAGAGATCTTTCCTTTCAAGGAAAATCACTTGTTTTCCTTCCTTGGTAATTTACTGGCATTAGGTCGTTATGAAAAGTTAAAATATCTTACCATGCGCTTTTGCAGTGAAAACTGGAAACTGCATGTAGCTCAGTATATATGGCCTTAACATGATGTTTTTGCTATTACAGCCAACTCAAGAAATGCCTGGAGAGGAATGTATTGAGAAGGTCATTGTAGATGGTGCCCCATCATACTTGTGTTCAGTGTGCCGTAAGTATCGGACCAGTGTGAAATTCAATGCATTGCGACACATGCGAACACACTTCAGTGTTCGGCCATACTCATGCCAGCAGTGTGGTCGGGCATATTCACAGTCACATCATCTGAAAGCACACAGGCTCTCATGCCCTGGTGCTGGGGAAGACTCAGAGACTCTCACATTGCTTCAAAATGTCCCAATGGACTAACATGTCCTCCAAGGATTTACTATTGCTCATGCTACATTTTGCAGTTCTGTTCCCTTCTGTGAAGTAGGCCAAGTTTTTACCATATATAAAGACAAACTGACCTATAAAAAATGCATATGACCATTGAAAGACCAAATGCAACTAATTTGATAGAGGGGTAAAACTTCTAACTTTTCATTAGATCCCTAAGCTTCACGAAAAGGTGGGAGCAACTATGTCATGGGTTCTTGCCTGAATTCCCTCTGTAGCCCTCAAATGTTCTATACTTCGAGGTTCTACTGAGATCCTTTTACATGTATAGGCCTACACCCTCCAAGGGTGTAGACCTATTCTTATGAACTCCATGGACTGAAGGCTGAAGAAGTGGAATAAGAGCCATATCTGTTGACAGGCCAAAAAGAACAACTTCACAAAGATACTTTTCACCTTACTAGAAAGATTTCCTTCATTAGGAAGAGGAGAATATCAAAGGAGTTTAAAATGAATAGTATAGAGAGAGAGAATTTGACTAGGAGCCATGGTGCTTCCAGGCCCAATGTCTTGCCTTATTTTTCTAACACACAGTCATATGCACAGCCAAAAATACTGCATTACCCCTATATTAAGGTCTCATCAGGGTCATAATTCATTTCTGGTCAGTTTGCCTAGAATGACTGATGTTTGCCAATGATATGTCACTGCTTGTATTGGTGTTTGTTAATCCTCAATTTATCTCATCCTTTTATTTTCATTCCTGGTTTCATGTCCAGTGCTTAAAGAGGCACTGGGAATGCTATAGTTCAATAATCTTGTTGACACTTCTTTTTGCTGGCTGAGACAACTTGAAAAATATTTCTTCCCTTCATTGTGAGTCAAGTTTGACTTCTTTTCCATGATATATTAGGCTTGTAATTTGTTCATTTCATGCCATGTAATATTTTCTTTGTTTTAGAAGGGGCAGGGCTGAGCCCCTGCTTGAGAAAACATACTGAGGCTTAGGCCTCAATAACACTTAACCGACTTGAAGCATTACTCTTGGCACATTTAAATATTTCAGCCTCTATAGGAGAATCATGAAGCATGTCGCATCTTTTGAAGGTGTTGTCATAGTTTCATGACTTGGTTATGAAGGGATGGTAGTTCCTTGTCTTTTTTATTTAGTTTTCACCAAATAGTTTAATGGTTCTTGTTATGACCTGGTGAGATGTTGCAGAAGATCTTTCATTCTCATTTAGTTTAAGAATGATAAGGATAAAACAATATGATTTGATGGGAATAAGAAAAAACGACATTTGAAGTGTGACACATCCTTACAGAGATAGGGGTAAAGTATGGGTCTTTGAAAATACCTGGAAGGCAATATTTAAAATATAAAAATAACTGAGAAGTAAAAACCCATGTCGTACTAGCACACCTTAGATTTGTTTTGACTTGTTTATGAATCACAAGGTCTGGAAATTATTGCTTTTGGGAGATGCCAGTATTAGTTACTATCATTCAGTTCTTGTCATGAATCTCTGTATTAGGATCAAGTCCTACCTATGAGGGGATGACTGCTTCTTCTTGGAGTATTTGCAGCATGCAATTGATGCAAAGTCAATCTCAGTTTTCAGTTGTTTTATATTCTCCTGCCTTAAAATATTAGACCCTTACTTGCAAGGTGTATGTTGCTCATTACCATATTGGGCCCAAGCCTTCCTTGAATGATATGGTTAGAGATGGGAACTAGAATTGTAAAGTGGAAACCTCATCATTAAATTAGGAATGCATCCAATAGTCCTAATTGTATGCTGGTAAAGGCATTCAATGTGAAGCTTCAGCAGCTGAATGTTGACTATCCAAATAGACCAAAAAAGGCTTTGCAAAGCAAGCTACCCTGCCTACTACTTTTTAAAAATTATTTCTTCAATTTCAATTATCCAAACCCCCTGTGATGTAAATTATGCTGCCTTGCATGGGCTTCAAGAAGTAATACTGTATTTAAGAAGTGGTAAGAAGTGGTGCATGTAAAACTGGGCAATTTTGCAGCTGTGAGCTATATTACTTTCCTCAATTGTATCACAAGCTCTTCCTTCATTTATTCACTGAACTAATGGCAATTGCTCAGAAGACTTGACAACTCACCCAAAAATAGTGCAAAGTGAGATTATGATTTATTCCAACACTAAACCTATGATGGATACTAGTGTTTTGATCATAGCAGCAACTGCTCAAGGTGTGCTGTAATATTGTGGGATTGGTGGAAGAAGCCCAATGGTCTTTGCAAGTAGTGTTATAACATGCAAGCATACACCTCAGCATGTTGTACCAATCATTGAGTGATACCATCAGTCAAGTTCAGAGTTGATGCAACCATGTTTAGGTTGACCCAGATGATACCTTCAATTGCTGACAAAATTCCAACAGGTCTGATGAATCAGCATTATGAGATTGCCTTTTTTTAACATCAGCATTTTAAGTGAGGTGTTATACAATTTGTGGCATACATGTATTTGACAGTGTTGTTGGCATGCATTTGCTTGGTTTGTGTAGGTTCTCAAAAACATACAAATAAAGGAGATTCTCCTATCTCAACATAGTACAAATTTTAGCACTTTGTCTCCTGATAGCTAGATGGTATGGGTCTTCTTTTGCTGGCTTTCTCTTTTCCAGAAAGCTGCTTACCTGACCATGATAAGACTGCACCTAAGGTATATTCACCAGTGGTTCAGGAATTGCATCTGTCTTGGAGTGTGTTCACTTGTTGGAAGCAATGATGTGAAATCACAAATGTTCTATAGAAACTTCAGATGTGCCTCTTTCCTGGTCCTGCTGCAGGTACTGTTTGACATCCTGGTATTCGTTTGGGACATCTTCTTTTGAGATGAAACAGCCTGCTTCTTGTATCTCATGCCAAGCTTAATTTTCATGCCTTCAGCAAAATCCACTTTGAAATGCCTTGGCAAAGTTGACCGACTTGTGTCTAAACAAACAACCCATTCCTGTGTACTTGAATAGTTCATGAATGCTTTATTGAAGGGATGGGGCAACAGCCCACAAGTCCAGATTACACTGGTGATTTGATCTATGCACTGTTGCTGGAATCACTGCTGAAGGTGGTAAGAGTCATTAGTTAATTCTGTTTTGTTCATTGAAATCCTATTGCAAAAGAAGAGTTTTAACCTTCTCCAAGTTTGAATGGCAACTTTCACCCTATTCAGTAATGGGTGGACTCAGTGGCGTAACTAGGGGGAGGGGGGGCAAGTGGGGCGGTCGCCCCGGGCGCCACAGTCCAGAGGGCGGCAAAATAGGCTTTAAAAAAAAATTATTTCAAAGAAGCAAAATTTTTTTCATTTTGCCCATTTCCGCCCACCGGCAAAATACCCATTTTGACGATTTTGCGATTTTTTCCCGTTTGTCGCCCTCTAAACTGAGGGCGGCAAACGTCATCTTTCAGCAAAATGAAGCTGATTGTCGTACCTGCGATCTACAATGTCTCAAGAAAGACTTACAAATCTTGCTATCCTGTGAATCGAACATCAAGTTGCTTGCCCAGTTTGTTTTATTTTTCTTTCTAAAACCATGCCAGAGAACCATAGGTGAGGCACGATACACAGTATGCAGGTAGCTAGCAAGAAACCCTGCAACATTTTTGTGGAATGGCATATTATAAATCCCATAGTAGTGAATGGAGAAGAGCCACCACGGACCCAACTAAGATGGCTTCCAATTGCCCCAAAGCCATCGTATTGTGCGCCATCTCCAGTTCTCTTTCTAGCTCAGTGGGTGGACCCAATGACTTCAGGTGAATGGCCGGAGCTGGGATAATTTAAAGCTAGCTTCAGGCTTGCTAGGAGATTCTTCTATGGAAGTGTTAATCCAAAAAGTTGGGGTCCTACAGGAGGCTTCACAGGACTCTACGCCAAAGCTATTGGCCTATATTTTATTCTGATACTTAACTCGGGCAACAAATAGTTATCTATTCGGATGAACCTTATCCTGTTTAGTTTGCTTTCCTTGCAGGCCCAGTGGGCTCAGTGTTGCACGCCAATGTTGTGAGCTTCCTCTGATATGCCTGTAGTCCTGTTACTCTCAGCTTAGAGGTATGTTACAGTGTTGTGCCAACTTGTTGAGCAACTCAAGAACTTGGAAAGCAACAGGGTGTGATGGCATTCAATATAATCTTCAAATTCATTGCTCCAGTCATTTTCTTTCAATCATATGAAGTGTACATCTTTACCTATTTATTGGCTAAGTCTCTCAGGGACTTCATGTAGCTAAGATAATTGCTTCTCATGAGGCTTGTTATGCCTCATGAGAAGTTAACAACCAGTCTCAATGTAGCCCTATATTTCCAAAGTGCTTAAAATATTGCATACCAGCCTGGACACCCTAACAAAACATATCTTCATTGGAAACCAATGTAGATTTCTGTAAACAGACTTCCAATACATGGTATATATGGTTCTAGATGATAAACTTTGTTGGCGACCCATTACTTGATCTACTGATAGCATTTGCTACCTTTGGTTGCTGCACTCTTTTGTAAAATGTATATATGGAATCCCTCATGCTTAATTCAAAGACCACTTGGAAATTTGCAGACAGCTGATAAAATTTTAAAATACATATTGGATTATATCATGTGTGGAGTTTCACAAAGATCACTTCTGGGTCCCTCACTTTTTATTTAAGTGAATGATGTTTCCTGGCCAGTGGCATAACTAGGGGGGGGGGGGCAAGTGGGGCGGTCGCCCCGAGCGCCACAGTCCAGAGGGCGGCAAAATAGCGTTTCAAAACATTTTTTATTTCAAAGAAGCAAAATTTCGGAATTTTTTTTTCATTTTGCCGCCCACTGGCAAAATCCCCATTTTGATGATTTTGCAATTTTTTCTCGTTTACCGCCCTCTGAACTGAGGGCAGCAAACGTCATCTTCCAGCAAAATGAAGCCGATTAAGTTGTACCTGCGATCTACAATGTCTCAAGTAAGACTTACAAATCTTGCTATCCTGTCAATCGAACATCAAGTTGCTTCTTCCATTGATTTCAGCGAAGTTATTAAAGATTTTGCAGCCAGTAAATCAAGAAGGGCTGAATCTTGATTGCAGTGGTTTGTTTGTAAGAATTGATTTTGATTACATTATTTGTGCTGAGAATCAGTCCTGACTAACAGAGGTATTTAATAAATCTCATTCTCCAGTAAAACGTGTGTGCATGTGAAAATAACAATTAGCAAGGGGGAACATCAAGTTGCTTCTTCCATTGATTTCAGCGAAGTTATTAAAGATTTTGCAGCCAGTAAATCAAGAAGGGCTGAAATTTGATTGCAGTCGTTTGTTTGCAAGAATTGATTTTGATTACATTATTTGTGCTGAGAATCAGTCCTGAATAACAGAAATATTTAATGAATCTCATTCTCCAGTAAAACGTGTGTGCATGTGAAAATAATTAGCAAGGGGGGGAGCTGGAGTATGGGGGCGACGGTAACAGTCACTCGCCCCGGGCGGCAAATTACCTAGTTACGCCACCGGGTGGACTAGTGGCAAGAGTTATGTATAGTGATTCTCTTCATGGGATTCTGCAATATGAGGAAAGAGAAGAACATGATGGTCAACATCATGTGTTGGAGTGAACTTTTAGATGGTTCAAAATGACGCCTAATATGACTGCAATGTTAACACTTGTTGCCGGTTGTTTTTCAAAGATCCTTCAGTCCTTGCTGCCCTTGATGCCCCACGACTTTGATCATATGTTATTTCTCTTAATGGTTGGATTCATCGACTCACCTAGCTTTTGCATTATTGGAAAGTGTCGAGCATATAGGCTGCAGGCGCAAGAGCAACTGGATGAGATGCAAATCCTCATGCTAGACTTCAGTGACGAAGAGCATCGCTCGGAAAACAACCTCTGGAAGTAGGCGCATTTCCTTGTCCACATTATAAATCGTCATAATATGATAACGGTCACAGTAGTCATCATTCATTGTACTTTCGCACTGCAACGTTGGATCTTCTGGAAGATCCAGCTTTTGCACTATGAACATGATTAAAATTTGACTTCATGATCATTGTTCAATGACCTTGAGTATGATCCCATCGTGACTTGATGACCAATTCTTCCAGCCTCGTTGGAGCTATGAGATGTCTGAATGAGGAAGAGGATTAGAAGAGAGAAAATGAGTTGAAGGCATTCATCTCCACAGTTATCGGTGATGAATGCTCGAAGTTCCAACATTAGTCTACCAAAGAGGATCGACTGGATTCAATCCTTTCCTCTCGACAGGAAAAGAAAGAGTATAGGCTTTTTGAGCATTGTGAAAAGGAATTTCATTCTTTCCATGGAAATACGTTGAGAGTGGCTTGTCTGCCAACAAGTATCTGATTGGAAAGAAAGTTCTCGGAATTTCATGAACAATTATTACATACAGTATTAGTTTATTTAAAAGCAAAATCATCTCAATCATGAATGTAATCACCATTGGCCTCTATCACTTCACGCCAACGTTTATGCNTACTTATAAACACACGCAGAACATTCTAGCATGCTCTGGAAAAAAAATTGTACTGGATATTCAATAAATTCCGAGAACTTTCTTTCCAATCAGATAAATGCTGTTTGCAAACCTTTCATCTCTCGTCTCTTTGGAAGAACGGAGAGTTCCGTTGGATCTCTGTTTGTTTTCAGCATAATAATTTCATCACCCTTTGTTTAATATATGCAGTGTTATTCATTCACATTTGGTCAATAACTGTGATGAATTTTGCTTTCAGAGAGTCATATTTTGGTCGTGCTGTGAGAATTGTGAGGAATGGGATACATTTTTTCAGCCCCCATTCAATGTGAACGTGGCAAGAATGGAACGAGGAGGAGATGCGAGCGCTCGTCTGGGAACAGAGAACTATTGTTTGCAATACATTGTCATTTACCGGAAGTCCTTAAGATGTTTCTGGAACGATAGGACACATGCAATCGAGGTTCCCTAAAAGATACTCTCTGCCCCACGCCGATAGCATCACCTCATTTGCGTTCATGAAGCCGGTTAAATTAGAGAATGAAAACCTCCACGAAATCATTCCTGTAATTGTAACTATCGAATCGTAACGTAACTTTCTGGTGAATGATAGGTCATACCTACGATCCACGAATCGAAAAAATTGCGAAAAGATGAATTCTGGAGCCGAATGAAAAGTTTGATTCCCTCTGAAGTCCTTCCATAGCTTCTCATTGACGCTTCGCTCTTTCCCCGACGAAGACGCATCTTGGTACAATCACGAAGGCATCCGATGAAAGCTTCCTCTCTCTGCCGCACATTCTGGAGGCATTGTCATAGCGTAAAAAAAAACAATTAGATTATTTTTCCAGGCAAAGGTATTCATATAGGGTAAAACGGCAAAACCCGAACGCCTGAAGGTTGAGTCGAACGCACAAACCATAAGGTCAAGATGACCGCTATAATGTGTATTCGACTCGACCATGGACGAATTCTAAATTACCTTGTTTCTTTTGGC